ATAAAGCGGATTGAGAGGGGAATAAGATTGAAGGAAGAAACAAAAGCTTATCCAGCTTTGAATAATTGCAGACTGAAAAGTATTTTTCTGCCTTTCGTAGTCTTCAAATCTTCCTAAAACCTAAAATCGTTTATCACGAGCAACCGCGGGTATTACGAGTCTTTATGTTATCAAAATGTTTTATATAGGTACTCATTGACTTCGTAAAAGGAAACTATCTCATGGCAGCAGTTCAACAAAAACTTCTGAAAAATTTCTGCTGAGAAGAAAAATTTCCCGCTGAACATTTATTAAAACAGTAGCAGCTCCATTTGTTCTAAGTAACTCACTTCGTCCGGAAACATATTCTAAAAACGCCGTACGATCATCGTCATCTGTGTCCCCTGCGATTACCTATTGATCATTGTAGTGCTGGTCAATTTTTTCATATCAATATTTAAGCAGTCTATTTCTGGACCGAGCTTGGAAGAAACAGACAAGCGAATCTCAACTGACATTCTACAGGTTGCGATTTGCATTTTGAAAGAGATTTGGATGGACGAGGAGCGGTTTACTGCATTGCATAAAATCAGATAATTCCCGAGAAATTATCTATTCATGCCATTCTGAATGCATGACTAGGAGGTACCAAAGAAGTGCGTGGCCATCTCATTCATCAAAAATCTTCAATCCTCTTCTTTGCGGTGGCGGAATATCGAGAAATATAAAGAGCTGGATTTGCCGAAAAAAATGCATATGAACAGTATCCCACTTCGCTGCTACTGCTCCACTTCCTCTGAATTATTTGTTCGTACTGGCGCCATTGAGCAGTCTTAATCTGTGCAAAAAAAAAAACACAGAGCTTTGACTTATTGGCTGCATCTTGCCCCTCATCCGGTTCTTCATCCGGACTCTAGACATCCTCGCTTGTTATTAGTGCAGCTACAGTTCAAAAAGTTTCTACAGGCCTGCAAATCGCTGTTCTCGAAGTGTGCTTGATTTGGTGACCTTTAACCGTCCGTTATTTTGAAGTCGCTCCTTTTACTATTGTATTTTATTTAACTGTATTTTGATGCAATACTACTACTAACTGAAACGCGTGGATCGTTTTGCAAAAATGCCGTTGCTAGGCCTGGCAATGTTACGCCGTTCGTGGCGTTTACGTCGCTCAGTGAAGGAAAATCGACGAAGCTGTATCTACGCGAATGGCGCTGCTCCACTATCCCTTCTTCATTCACCATCTTTCGGTAGGATTTGAATATCGTGTTTTTTTTTGCCACAAAAATTTTTTAGATTTTTCACAGGTATTATGTATGTAAAGAAAAAACAACCCCACTCAAATACGCCATGCGCCTAGTGAAGTGCTACTGTCGTATTTCTGTTTTTTATAATTTGAAAAAAAGAATTTATTAACTTTGGCGACTTTTC